CTATATATTGTCACCCTGCTGATTTAACTTATATGAAAAGTACATCATGAAAAACGCTGGGCTGGATGAAGCACAAGCTGGAATCAAGATTGCTGGGAGAAATATCAATAACCTCAGATATGCATATGACACCACCCTTATGGCAGAAAGTGAAGAGGAACTAAAGAGCCTCTTGATGAAAGTGAAGGAGGAGAGTGAAAAAGTTGGCTTAAAGTTCAACATTCAGAAAACTAAAATCTTGGCATCCGGTCCCATCACTTCATGGCAAATAGATGGGGAAACAGTGGAAACAGTGGCTGACTATTTTTTTGGGCTCCAAAATCACTGCAGATGGTGACTGCAGCCATGAAATTAAAAGACGCTTACTCCTTGGAAGGAAAGTTATGACCAACATAGATAGCATATTAAAAAGCAGAGACAGTACTTTACCAACAAAGGTACATCTAGTCAAGGCTATGGTTTTTCCAGTAGTAATGTAAGGATGTGAGAGTCAGACTGTAAAGAAAGCTGAGTGCCGAAAAATTGATGCTTTTGAACTGTGGTGCTGGAGAAGCCTCTTGAGAGTCCCTTGGACTGCAAGGAGATCCAACCAGTCCATCCTAAAGGAGATAAGTCCCGAGTGTTCATTGGAAGGACTGTTGTTGAGGCTAAAACACCAACACTTTGGCCATCTGATGTGAAGAGTTGACTCATTGGAAAAGACCCTGATGTTGGGAAAGATTGAAGGCAGGAGGAGAAGGGGACGACAAGATTAGATGGTTGGATGGCATCACTGACTCAATGGACATGAGTTTGGGTCAATTTCAGGAGTTGGTGATGGACAGGGAGGCCTGGCGTGCTGGGGGCAATGGGGTCACAAAGAGTTGGACATGACTGAGCCATTGAACTGAACTGAAGACTAGTATATGTACATTTACATGTGTTGTACTTGTATTTTTATATATATGTCTAGTATTTTACTGCTTTCCTGCTTTTTATTTTTTATTCATGTCATTATTTGTTGGTGGTGTTTTTTCCTCTTCAGTTTTTTTCCTCTGGAGTCTTTTATTGAAGACATAACAAATTACTACAAAGTCAGTTGCTTGAACAGTACAAATTTATTATCTTAGTTTTGTAGATGAGAAGTCCATCACAGATCTCATCAGGCTAAGATCAAGGTGTTGGCAGGCAAGGCTGCATTTCTTTGTGGAGGCTTTAGGGGAGAATCCATCTCCTTGCCTGCTCCAGCTCTTGAGGCCTGAAGGAAAGAGAAGCCTCGCTGCCCCAGCTTTGTGACCCATCCCAGCTGAAACCGGTCCCCTGCCGACCTAGAGGATCTTGAGATACTGTTTGTGGTTTTAAGCCAATACATTTTGATGGTTTGTTATGCAGCAAACAGAAAACACAGGTTCCATTCCTGGATCAGGAAGATCCCTTGAGAAGGGAATGGCAACCCACTCCAGTGTTCTTGCCTGGGAAATCCCATGGACAGAGGAGCCTGGCGGGCTACCGTCCATGGGGTCGCAAAGAGTCAGACATGACTGAGCAACTAAGCAACAGGTAACAGTGGCACTATTAATATATTTTTGTGGCCCTTTTTTGTGTGCTGTCTTCACTTTTAAATAATATATATGATTCCTGTTGTCTATCTTATTTTCCATCCAAAATAAGTTTACCTGTTATTTACTATTATTTAACTTATCTATTAACTATAACTAGTAATAGTTAAACACTGAAGACGTGATTGTGCAGTAGTTTGAGCATTCTTTGGCATTGCCTTTTTTGGGGATTGGAATGAAAACTGACCTTTTCCAGTCCTGTGGCCACTGCTGAGTTTTCCAAATTTGCTGGCATATTGAATGCAGCACTTTCACAGCATCATCTTGTAGGATTTGAAACAGCTCAAGTGGAATCCCATCACCTCCACTAGCTTTGTTCGTAGTAATGCTCCCTAAGGCCCACTTGACTTTGCATTCCAGGATGTCTGTCTCTAGGTGAGTGATCACACCATCATGATTATCTGGGTTGTGAAGATCTTTTTTGTACAGTTCTTCTGTGTATTCTTGCCACCTCTTCTTAATATCTTCTGCTTCTGTTAGGTCCATACCATTTCTGTCCTTTATTGTGCCCATCTTTGCATGAAATGTTCCCTTGGTATCTCTAATTTTCTTGAAGAGATCTCTAGTCTTTCCCATTCTGTTGGTTTCCTCTATTTCTTTGCATTGATCACTGAGGAAGGCTTTCTTATCTCTCTTTGCTATTCATTTGAACTCTGTAATCAAATGGGTCTGTATTTCCTTTTCTCCTTTGCCTTTCATTTCTTTTCTTTTCACAGCTATTTGTAAGGCCTCCTCACATAACCATTTTGCCTTTTTGAATTTCTTTTTCTTGGGTATGGTCTTGATCACTGCCTTCTGTACAATATCACAAACCTCCGTCCATGATTCTTCAAGCACTCTGTCTACTAGATCTAATCCCTTGAATCTGTTTGTCACTTCCACTGTATAATTGTAAGGGATTTGATTTAGGTCATACCTGATGATCTAGTGGTTTTTCCTATTTTGTTCAATTTAAGTCTGAATTTGACAATAAGGAGATCATGATTTGACCCACAGTCAGCTTCAGGTCTTGTTTTTGCTGACTGTGAAAAGCTTCTCTATCTTTGGCTGCAAAGAATATAATCAGTCTGCTTTTGGTATTGACCATCTGGTGATGTCCATGTGCAGAGCTGTTTCTTGTGTTTTTGGAAGAGGGTTTTGCTATGATCAGTGTGTTCCCTTGAACTGAACTGACTGAATCAATGCTTTGTCTCCTGTAGGCATTTAAAGGGAAAATGAAACTGCATTTTAAACTAAACTGCAAAATTTTTCACATTGCTTCTTGTTCACTGCCGATATGTTTTATATTTTCTTTAAGAGTTTTGGTTCCTGAAGACATTTCTAGAGCTTAGCATAAACAATCATGGGTTAGTTTGGCCTTACAATATTTAAACAATTGAGCTAAGAAGTGACAATTCTATCTTCAATGAAGCCTTGTAAAATGCTATAAATGACTCACTTGCTTCGAAATAAAAGATAGTCCATTTATGACAAGCTCTATCAGACTAAAATGAACAGCTTTTGTTATTTAAAAGTTTTAAAAGCCAGCCATAAGTTTTAGGGTTCCATGGACAGAGGAGCCAAGCAGGCTGCAGTCCATGGAGTTTCAAAGAGTCAGATACAACTAAATGACTAACACACACGTAAGTTACATCCAAATGTAGGATATTTTTATCATTATATTCTTAGCTAAGTTTGTCTCATTGGTGGAAAAAAAGTCCACTATGAAAAAGCCAACCATTCTCTTTTTATAGATTCCTTGAATTAATACCAACATATCAGAACAACTGAAAATAAAAGGAAAGTGGCAGCATTTTTTAAATCTTATTTTGTGTGTCATATAAGCAGAATTACTCCAACTAATCTGATTTTACCTTGTATGTGCAAGTATTAATCTTGAGGATTTGTGATTATGCTTTTTAAAATATATTAATAGTAACTTTATTTGTGGTGTGGAAGGAGCACAGACTCCCCAGGATTCATGTGAGCTGGTGTTTTGTCCTGAAAATGCCACAGACCTGTTGTGTGACCTAGCTTTGGAGAGTAACCTCTCTGGGCTTCATTTCCTTGTTAGTAAAATCAGGAAACTAAGTTGCTCTCCAACTCCAAAAATAGATGCATTCTGTGGCTTCGGAGGGGAAAATGCATAGCTCTGATGTATCCTCTTAGAAAGAAAATGTGGTTTGATTCAGTTCTAGTGAGGCAGATGAACCTAGAGCCTGTTGTACAGAGTGAGGTAAGTCAGAAAGAGAAAGACAAATATTGTATATTAACACAAATATATGGAATCTAGAAAAATGGTGCTGATGAACCTATTTGCCAGGGCAGCAGTAGAGACCGAGACATTGAGACAGACTTGTGGACACAGTGGGGCAAGGTGTTGGGGGTGGGGCGAATTGAGAGAGTGACACTGAAACATATACACTACCGTAAGTAAGATAGATAGCTAGTGTGAATTTGCTGCATGACAGAGGGAGCGCAACCTGGCGTTCTGTGACAACCTAGAGGGGTGGGATGGGTAAGGGATGGAAGGGAGCTTCAAGAGGGAGGGGACATATGTATGCTTAACGACTGAGTCATATTTTGTATGGCAGAAACCAATACAGCGTTGTAAAGCAACTATCCTCCAACTAAAAACATAGTGAAAAAAGTGTTAGCAGGGTGTTTGCTAGTCATAAACGTTGTCAGGTAGGGAGACATTTATTTCTTTATACATGATTCATGGTATGAATAAAGTGTTAACATAAGAATTTATAATTATTTCCAAATCAATGCCGAACTGACTGCATATACGTGTTAAAGTTTAAGAGACCAGAAATCAAGGTGATAATATGTTTAATGCAACTTTTTAGAAAATTGTTGTCTTTTATAAAATGCTAAGAAATAGAAGTGTTTTTAAACACCTATGTTTTCTTATGTGGGCATACTTAAAGTCACAGTCTTAACTTTTTTTTCCTCTAACCTTTTATTACTCTTTTTATAGATTGGGTACTAATTTTTATTTCCTTGGGAAAAATAGTAAACTTCCATTGTATAAGTTTTTATTTATTTATTTATTTTAATTGGAGGCTAATTATGCAGAGTGAATTGGAACCTATTACACAGAGTGAAGTAAGTCAGAAAGGAAAACACCAATACAGTATGCTAATGCATATATATGGAATTTAGAAAGACAGTAACGGAGGCCCTATATGCGAGACAGCAAAAAAGACTCAGATATAAAGAACAGACTTTCGGACTCTGGGAGAAGGCAAGGGTGGGATGATTTGAGAGAATAGCATTGTATAAATTTTTAAGAGACTGTTAATACATTTCTCTTTATAATTCACTTTGAGCTAAGATTTTAATGGAAATGACCTCTGATTAGGTATTATAAGTAAAAACTACTGAACTATTTTTATTTTTAAATGTATTTCCTTATAGAACATTAGCCCTGATTAAACCAGATGCAGTATCAAAAGCTGGAGAAATAATTGAAATAATAAACAAAGCTGGATTTACTCTAACCAAACTCAAAATGATGACGCTATCAAGGTAAATTTTTTGATCCTTTTCAGTTATATAATGTCTGGTTCCTTTTTTTAAAAAAATTATCTTTCATGTTGTTGTTTAAAAACTTCCACAGAATGACAAAGAATAGTAATCTTATTAGAATGAGAAAATATAAGATAACAGTAATCAGATATGTAAATTATGATTGAACTCTAAGCAAGTAGGAATTTTCAGGTTACACTAATAACTATTAACTATTTATTAGACATTAATTCTTTATTTTCTTTCATAACCCCATCAGTGTTTCATATCTGTAATCTTTTATATAACACATTGTATAGAAATTATAGAAGAAATGAATATTAGATTATTCATATTTGACAAGGAACTCTTACTGTTGAGATTTCAAAAGTGATGTGCTTGGAAATGTTTTAGTTTGGAAATGTTTTCGTTCCTCCCAACATATTACATGTAATTGGTCGATATACCTATTTACTGTTCTGAAAAGCAAGCCATTTTATTTGACCAGATGTTTTCTAAGTTATTTAGTGAAAGTTAGATTTACTGTAAGTTAAGGGGATTAGTGTAGTTGTTAGGCAGGGCTGGACCCAGCAGTTGTGTTACTTACTCTAGTGATTTATGTTTGTTTGGTTAGGTGTCTTCTCACTGCTGTTCTTGGCTGTCTCTCCCATGGGACAGTTGCTTTTTTGTCTTATGAGAACAGGGACAATGGATAGCGGTAGAAATTCAATATTGAGAAGTCTGCTCCCTAGAAACCTTAACAAAACAGCCTCAATTTTACCCCCAAAAAAGACAATTTGAAATTTTCCCCTGTGTAAGCTTACACACATTCTAGAAAGGCAGACATCTATTTCAGAGCACAGAATCTAAAGCCAGATTAGGTTGTGGCTCTGTACAACTTACTTCTCTGTTTCAGTTTCTTCATCTGCTGAATGGAGGTTATAACATCACCAGTATTGTAAAGTTGTTATGAGGGTTATGTGAGCTTAATAAAGGTAAACTTCTTTGAAAAATTGTTGCACATAGTAAGAGCATATAGGAGCATATAGGTGTTAGCTGTTAGTGGTGGAGTATAGTACTTACTAGCGCTATCATTATTACTTAGTAGAAACAGAGGTCATGATCCTTATGAGCATAGTTAGATTTGTCCCGTTTCTGTCTGTATTGAAGATACTTGCCCTTACAGCAGGCAATGGGGCTGAATTCTGAGAGATGACTTTGAATAGTGTTAGTGACATTCAAACATTTTTATGTCTGTATCACACACTGGAGGTATAATCTGGCATCAAACTTTCCACAATAAAGCTGCCCCAAAAAACTTAACGGCTGTTTAAATTGTTCATAGCACCACATACATCTCTATTACTATTACTGTCAAGTCTTGGATTTTACCTAACTTAAAAGTTAATAAGTTAGTGTGTTATTCTCTCAGGGATGCTAGCAGAAGACATGAGACTTCTGAGCCAGGGACACAGGGCTTGATTAGGTTCAGTTAGCAGCATGAACATCAGGTTTCTGTTGGTTCCCGTTGCCTTCATGTCCTGTGAGAATAATATGAGACTAATATGAGATGGGCCTGGGTAGATGTCGCACACAGTTGATTGCATCACAGCTGAGGAGGGTTGAACTCAGGTTACCCACTGTTTCATTAGCCAGCTGTAAACAAGTCTGCTCTTTGTACTAAAGAGACATGACCTCATCCCTCAAAGTCACTCACTATAAACATAACTCCAAGAACTGGCTAGGATAAAGAGTAGTTGGGGCCTTGCATTCTTGGCATACCCAATCAGATGTGTTAGGAACGCAAGAGACCCACAGAGAAGCGTCTCCCAAAGCTTAAATCTTCTCAAAACTTATTTGCTCAAGCGTCGGCTCCTCCTTCACGACGGTATCTGAAAAGCAGCAGCTGGGTTCCATTTAACTGTACTTCTAGTTCTTGGATCAGGGCCTGATTCAAAGTAGGCGTTAAGTAAATATTTCATAAAATAATTAATAGATCATTGTGAGAATGTTATGAAAACACAAGAAAACATAGCAAAACAAGAACAGAAAAGACTTCTATAGGTGGTGATGCACTTGTTTCCATCTAAGCCTTTTAAGGGAGGAATTAAATAAAAGTGATGAGGAAAAAAATTCATGAACTCATTTTGGTTTCATTGATAGGTTTTGATTGGAAGTAACTGTGGAGTCAGTGACATGTTAGAAGGAAACAATAAAATACTTTCAGCAATTAATAGTTTTTATTAGTGTTAAAGATGATTTTGTTTTCTTAATAGTTCTGTAGAATTGGTCAGATTAGTAGTCTCACTGCTAACTCTTCTAAAATACTCCCCACTTGAATTTTTCAAAGTTTTACTTCATTTTAGCATGCAATACAGATCATCCATATCAGTTTTGTGAATTCTCCTGCTTACCCTCTAAAGTTTTTGTTTGTTTTTCTGAAGTTGGTGACAGAAAGGTCATAAGCAATCAGAGATTCGGATTCATATCTCCTTGTCATTCCTTTACTGAGTAGCATTTTGGTCCGGATAAGTTATGTAATCATGCTGAACTACATTATTTTTAGATGTAAAATGAAGATGATCATACCTCTTTCAATCAAACCTATTGTTGTGGGGAATAATAAAATTTAAACGTTGGCATATAATAGGCTCTAGAAGAATATGTTTTCTTTCCCTCTGTGTCTTGGGGTAAATTGTGTTTTCTACACTTGCGTAGTATACTTTCATAATCTCTTCATGGCCAAAGAGAATATTTTAGTACACTTGGTTTGAATAAAAGTATATCCTGATATATGAATTATTATATGAATTCATTATATGAATTTATTTTTTAATGGGCCCATAAAATCTTAAAGCATCGTGTCAAGCCCCTGGTGGCTTGAAAAGAATTGGCCTGCAATGCAGGAGACCTGGGTTTGATCCCTTGGTTGGGAAGATCCCATGGAGAAGGTAATGGCTACCTACTCCAGTATTCTTAACTGGAGAATTCCATGGATAGAGAAGCCTGGTGGATTACAGTCCATGGGTTCGCGGAGTTGGACATGGTTAATCAAGTAACCTAAAATCTTAATGCATTGCATACTAAGTTATCAAGCCTGAAAGTTTAATCCTTTGTTAGAGGACACTTGGCTATTTTAAAAAATTGATGTTGACATATGTTTGTCACATACTATGAACTGTTTCAAGCCTTTGAGAAAACTGTATGAGTTTGAGACACTTGGTTTGATTAGCTGAAAAGTCTAAATAACTTTTTCAATATGTGTTAACTTCCTTTATCCTATTCATTTTCTCCATGGTTGTGGGACTATAAATTTAAAAAGTAAATCCTGATTGCCACTGATAAATTCAGATTTCTGAATATCTCTATATTATCCCTTTTTGGGGAGGACGTAAGTTCAAGCATTAGTTTTTAATATAGTAATAATCGGTAAGAGTACATTGATGTGCATAATTTGTCAAGCAGTCTTTAAAAACACAAGTCTTTCTTTTGGAGCAGTCTATTTAAGGAAGAAAATTTTAACTATTAAGTTAAAATTCTGGCCTAGGCTCTCAAGTTAAAGCCTATAGAAGAAAGTAAAAGCTTTTGAATTTGTAAATATCTTTGCAATAATTAATATTTTTCTTTTCATTGATAAAGATTACATATTTTTTGATGTTCAACTTATGTGAACTTTAAAAAACAGTAAATCTTATTGGTTATATGTTAAAATTTGTTTTTAGAATGATAAAGATGCTAGTTAAAAGGAAGATAGTATAGACTTGAACATGAACAGTAAATATTGCCTCTTTTATTCATTTTAATTTTACATCTTAACATAGATATGCATACTAGCAAAAATTTGAAAAGAGGGAGCATTTGAGCAGAATATTTGGTGAAAAGTCCTTAGTTCACATATGGATCAAATAGAGAATTTCATTATTTTATTAATATAAGTTGATTTCCTTACATAATTCTTAGCTTTTGTCACTTTGGTTATTTTACAGGAAAGAAGCAACAGATTTTCATATAGACCATCAGTCAAGGCCCTTTTTAAAGTAAGTACTGAATTCAGGGCTCATGGTGTATAATGGAGGATATTGTGGAAAACTAAGGAGTTATCATTTCACAATTCAAAAATCTGTTACATGAGAATAATTTGTCAAAAAGTCCTTAGCAGGGACTTCCCTGGTGGTCCAGTGGCTAAGACTCTGCACTCCCAATGCAGGGGGCCCTGGTTTGGTCCCTAATCAGGGAGCTAGATCCCATACGCCACAACTAGAGTTCACATGCCTCAACTGAAGATCCTGCATGTCACTGCTAAGACCCAGTGGGGCAAATAAATAAAATAAAAATATCTAAAAAAAAGTCCTTGGCGACATCTTGCAACTGCAGGGAGCTTTTTTTCTAAGAATTGATGTATTTTTTCCCCCTCTCCTTTTACTAGGTGAAAATTCTTTGTTAAATAAATATATTAAACTTTAATCAGAAGCAAATGGCATGAATTGTTTAAATTATAAGGAGCATAGCTTTCTTTTTAGATTTCAGTAGAATAAAAATAGAGTAATAATTACATTTATGTTGAACTATTAACGGTATTCTCAATGTATGTAAAACATTGTTCGTAGAACCCTTATGTTAACTAAATTGTTTGGTACACATTTTGCTGTTTGAAATATAGCAACAAATATGTTAGAAAGTGAATCTATGTTCTAAATATTTGGGTTGTATTTAAAGTTAAGTGAATTTAGTGTGCCTCATTACTGTTGACAAAGGAGAAGTGCTTACTTTTCTAATAAAGAAGGATTAGCCAAGCTGTGGTAGACATTCTAGTTGGTGTCCTGTACATAATAGTGTTTTATTCAAGTTTTACATAAGAAAATCATTATGTTATAGGTTATTTTAAACAAAGCGTTATCAAAATATTCCCAAACCTTGTGTAGAATAGGCATCCATAATTCTCTTGGAAATTATTCTTCATTATAGTCTTTGTATATATTTGTATTATTACAACTTCTAGCTTAATGTCTTGTATGTCACCAGACCAACTCAGTGCTTAGTGACTGAAAATTCATTGTCATTCTTTGAATTCTAATAAATCTACACAGAAATTATTGAATTCTTACTACAAATATATTCCAAGATATCACTCATCACTTTGTCTATTGAGATTTTATTTGACTACCATGTTAAATTGCGTGAAAATAAGATTCTTCTGTACCTTTCAGAACAATGCAAAAAACAGTAGATCGACAATATGCATTTTAAATCAATGAAATAGTCTTAGTTCACTGAAACATTGATGCTTCTGCTAACAGTAATTGGTTTGACAACAATAGTGATTTGTAGTGACTCAGGCTACTGCAGGACACTCAGTTTATGAAAACTTTACCTTGTCCATGTAAAATTCACTATGTCCAATAGATCTGAGATGATAATATTCATATTCATAGCTATATGATTAAATACTCAAATGGTAATATTTCTTTGTAAAGAGAGACCTTGGTTAATACAAAAATGAAGCAAATCAATCTTTCACTGGTTTCACAGTGAGCTGATCCAGTTTATTACAAGTGGACCTATAATTGCCATGGAGATTTTACGAGATGATGCTATATGTGAATGGAAGAGACTTCTTGGACCTGCAAACTCTGGCCTGGCACGTACAGATGCTCCTGAAAGCATTAGAGCCCTCTTTGGAACAGATGGCATAAAGAATGCAGCTCATGGCCCTGATTCTTTAGCTTGTGCTGCCAGAGTAAGGTGTTTTTAAACTATTTTAATTTGTTTTGGTTTTGCTAAATGTTTGATGTCAGAGTAAAGCATTTTGTCACTGCTGACTTAAGGTGGATTTATGCAGCTGATCTAATAGTAGAAGAAACCTTTGACCTTTTGCCTGTGATTAAACAGACATGAGTTTGAGCAAGCTCTGGGAGTTGGTGATGGATAGGGAAGCTTGGTATGCCGCAGTCCATGGGGTGGCAAAGAGCTGGACAAGACTGAGCAACTGAACTGAAACAGTGTTTCAATGATATGTCTCCTTTGAGAACTGGTAACCTAGTCATGGTCTGAATAAGTTTCTCCAATTAAGATACTTGTTTTGTTTCAGACTTAAATCACTGAGGCTTATCAGTAAATGAATTATTCCTGTAAGAATACCAGGTTATGGAAAGTGAATATTCAAAAAGACATATTCTTTCTTTGACTCAGACTTGACACCATATTTTCAAGCTTAACATCCTTCCTTTTTCTACATATAATTAGTGTTTATGAAAGTTTTTCTATTAATAATTCTCATTTTGGATTTATATAAATAAGATATTACTCCACTGGGTTTATACTGATGTTGAATTAATGAAATGCAAGTTAACTCTTCGCATTCTGAGGAGTTTCTCAGCTAGTTTAAGATGGTTTTTAGTCTGGTCACATATACAGTGGAATAATACTAGCAAGTTTTATGATATGAAAGTGAAAGTGTTAGTTGCTCAGTCATGTCTGACTCTTTGCAACCCCATGGACGGTAGCCTGCCAGGCTCCTATGTCCATGGGATTCTCCAGGCAAGAAAACTGGAGTGGGTTGCCATTTCCTTCTCCAGGGGATCTTCCCGACCCAGGGATTGAACCCACATCTCCTGCATTGTAGGTGGATTCTTTTAGTGCTGAGCCACTGAGGAAGCCCTTAAGTTTTGATGGCTGTGGAATATTCTCTTGCATGGATACAACATTTTTACTTCAGCATTTCCTTACCTTTGGATGTTTTGTTATGTTCTAAATCTTTTCATATTTGTAATAAGAGTGCACTGATCATATGACTTAATATTTCATCTATATCTTGGTTTATTTTCTGAGAACGGATTTCATATTTGACATTAGAATATGTAGATTTCAGTATTTTTTAAAAATGTCTTAAATTGGGTCCTTACAAAAGTGATATTTAAAATGACTGTGAAATTTTCAGAGACACCTGTAACTGGCAACCATTTATTAATGTATTTTATGATGATGATTAAGGATATGAATGTAGATTAGTCAGATGTTTTAGGAGATTTCATATGGGGTCTTATCAGGGTGAAATTTATGAAATGGTATAAGTATATACTTAACAATTTGTATAAAATAGAGTACAAAGAATTGTATACTTAAAGCTGATCAAAGTGAGTCTGAGTTTTATTTTTTGGGAAAGTTACATATCTTTATCCTTTCCTGCTAGGTCATTTAGAGACATATAAAAGACTTAGAGTAATAGCAAAGAACCTCAGAAAAAACTTCATGCAGAATGTTTAAAGCAGCTGAAATCACAAAAGAATATGAAGTTTTTTGTTTGACATTATCAGCATATTTGTTGTTTGAAGTCTCTATAAACTACTTGCCATATAACCGTGACCTAGTAACAGTGTTCTTGCAAATATTAGCTGGATTAATAGGTGGGACAGATATGACAGTCAGCACAAGGAGAAAGAGAAAGCAAAGACATAGAATTACTCACTTTCACCAAGATACATTTAAGTGGCAATCTTTATATTTTTGCCTTAAATGCATATTTATTCATATATAAATGAGTACTTGAAAAACTTGGGTTTTCTTTTTTTAAACTGAGCAAAAAAGAGACGTTGAGACAAAAATAATTGGCCAAATAATTGGTTAAACTAGAGTTAGAACATTCTAGCATTGCTTTTTACATCTGAAAGAGAGGTGATATAATAGAAAAAGTTCAGGACTTTGGAGTTATTATGACTTTGAAACATATTATGTTTCATAATATGAAACATAATATGTTTCATATTATGAAACATGACTTTGCCATGTATTAACTCTCAAGGGCTTGTTCCTTAAGCCTTCTGAATGCCTTTTTTTCTCATTTGTACAAAGTAGATAAATAAAAATTCTTCATATGTTAAATAAACTACTTCTGAATTTCAATCATTCCAAAATGTTTATTGAGAAGCTATTGTGAATAAGACAAGGTCCTCCTTCTCATGGAGCTTAGAGCTCTTCTAATGTCAGACAATAAATAAACAGATCTATACCTCTGATGTCTACTGATAAGTGCTCTGAAGAAAATATACCAGGAGAAGGGCACAGAAGAAGACCAGAGTCTAGAAGGATCGTGTGTGGAGTAGAGGTGTGGAATGCTATTTTTTAAAAAAAGTTATTTTATTTTTGGCCATGTCCAGTCTTTGTTGAGGCGTGAGGCTTTCTGTTTGCGGCAGGAGGCTCAGCACTTGCAGTGCACAGGCTCAGTTGCCTCTTAGCATGTGAGGTCTTGGTTCCCCGACCAGGAATCAAACCCACATCCCCCTGCATTGGAAGGTGGATTCTTAACCACTGGACCACCAGGGAAGTCTCTAGAATGCTGTTAAAATAGTATATTCAGAAAGTCCTTACAGTCTCTGGTGTGAGCCGAGGTCAAAAGGAAGTGAGGGAGAAAGCCTTGCAAATGTCCAGGGGAAAGTGTTCCAGGAAGAAAGGAAACAATACATGTAAAGATTCTGAGGTAGGAACATATTTGCTGTGCTCAAGGAACAATAAGAAGGTGAGGCCAATGATGCTGGGACAGAAATAGCTTCATTGAAATAGCTTGGGGATTAGGTCAGTTATAGCCAGGGACCAGGTCACATAGGCCTTGTAGGACATCTGGGACTTCGAAATTTATTGTGAATGAGACAGGAGATATTGGAGGGTACTGTGCAGAGGAGTGACAGGATTTTTATAAGTTTCATTCTTACTACTGTTAATAATGGACCAGTTAGGGTGGAGAGACATGTGTTGTGGGAAAAGTTGGAATGGGAGGTCAGTCAGGTGGTTAATGCAGTTGTTAAAGGGAGAGTTGGTTGGCATGTGGCATGGACCAGAGTGACAGATGTGGAGGTAGTGGATGGATTCTGGATATATTTTGAAGGATTTCCTGATATATGGGACAGGTGGAGAAGAATCAGGAATTACTAGTTTCTTTCTGTTGTTGTTCATTTTTGGCTTGTGCAATTGAAGGATAAGGAAAAAGGTGGGATTGAACAGATTAATGGGAGACAGTGGAAATTAGAAGTTCTGTTTTGGATGTTTTAAATCTGAAATGTCAATGTGGATGTGTAGTTTAGGGCGGAGGTTGGGCCGGAGATTAAAATATAGGAACCATCAGAATACAGAGAGCACTGAAAGCCATGGGACTCAAGGGTCTCAGCAAGACAGTGACAACAGAATAGTGACCATAGATGGTACTAGACCCCTCACCAGTACTTAGGGGTCTGCTAATAGGAGAAAATCATTAAAGGAGACCGAGAAGAAGTGACAAGTGAGGTGGGAAGAAAACCAAGTAATGGAAGCATTCCAAGATATAGGGATCAATTGTGTCAAATGCTGTTGGGTCCGGTAAGGTGAGGTCTGAGAATTAACCAGGGTACTTGGCAACGTGGAGGTGGCTGGGGATTTTCATGAGTAAACTTCCACAGAATGAAAGCCTGATGAGTTGTAAGTTTAAGAGGGAGTGGAAGAGAAGAAGACAGAATGAAGACATCTCTTCTGAGAAGTTTTGTAAAAGGAAGCAGAGAAGGGGCGCTGTAGAAGGGCCCTGTCCTTACAGTTTGCAGTCCTCTACCATAGCTTCTTGTCACATTAGGTTTACTTCATTCATTCATTCACTACCTACCAGGACCCTGTAGGTATTTGAGTTTTCACCTGTACCATACAAGTTCTCTGAGAATATGTAATCAAAGCATCTGGTACAGGTCTGCAAACGGTACTTGGTGATAGTCATCAAGAAAAGTAATAAGCAAAGGCATTAATACAATAGAAAGATACTTGTCTAAGGAATTGAACATTTTAATTCTAAAGAGTCATTAATGCTGGAATCACTCAAGTATATTTGCTACTATTTGAGCAGTTCCTCAGATTGGTTTTTTATTTGTTTTTCTGGCCACACCATAAGGCATGTTAGATCTTAGCACCTCAGCCAGCAATCAGACCTGCACCCCTGCACTGGGAGTGCAGTGTCTTAACCTCTGGACCACCAGGGATGTCCCCCAATTGGTTTTTTTTAAACTGCATGCCAGTGTGGTACAGTAACACATCCTATTATCTTTCAATTTTTAAATTTAATGAAAATGAGTATTTACTTTGAGCTGTTTGTTTTAGATGCTGAAGCACCTACAAGGCTATGCAAGTTAGTTCTTTTGGGGGGCAATTACCAAAATAACCACAACCTTGAAGAAGTATAGGGTACTGATGATTGGCAGCATCAGTAAAGGCCTCCTGGAGGAAGTGCTCTTTGAAGTGATCCTTTACACTTTAGCACGGTTCTTTGAGGACAGCTGGCTTTATAGGGAACAGTGGAGATAATAGTAGTAAAAGTTTAGTGGTAGAGAAGCGTATGTCTGAAAAATTGGTTAGTGTGGCCATCTTCATGGCCAATTCAAATTGCTGGGTTGTTCTTTTAATGAACTATGTGCAAAGCAAATAGCACAGCATGTATCTGGTTATAAAATAAGGTTCATGTGATTTGACTTTACTAGTACTATATATATTTATATATATATAGTAAATTAATTTTAACTAACTGTAGCTCTGATTCTTGAATACTCATCTGTTTCTGTAAAGATTTCCTAATTTTTAACTGCATTTTAGACATTTTAATGAAAAGCTTCGAATCGAACCTCTGTCTCATAAACTTGGATAAAATAGGGAACTTTATATTGACTACGTCCAGTATTCAAAATGTTAAGACATTCTCAGTTTTATTCCTGGGACAGAATAATACATATTGTCATTGCTTTAATACTTCTTTACATGTTCCTTTCTAAGACTTAAAACAAGGTTCTGTTCATCAGTTAGCCTTTGTAAAAAGAATTTTTAGGAAATTCAGGAAAGAGCTTATATTGTGAAACTTTAAAAGTAATTGCTTTGTTCTTCCCCTCTCATAGGAGTAAAAGAGATTGTATTTGGGTAGGACCCTATGGGGCCTCCCTGGGACAGTCACTTTCCCCATACCCTCTACTTTAGCTCCTCTCTGAGGTACACAGATAGTAGCCTCTAATGCACATTTCCTGAGTCGTTTTACAGATGTATAACAAAATTACATGTGCCAAAGTCATTTCTCTCTGTCTTTAGGAAATGGAGTTATTTTTTCCTTCGAGTGGAGTGTGTGGGCCAGCAAACACTGCTAAATTTACCAACTGTACTACTTGTTGCATTGTTAAGCCCCATGCTGTCAGCGAAGGTAAGTACTGTGTTAAATACAATATAGCCAATACATTCTGCTAATAGCTGAATTTGTTAACATTTGTTTTCTTGATATAGGTTAGGTGTTAAAATTATAGTTTTAATATTTCCATTCACTTTTTTGAAGGCACATGAATAAAAGTGATGTAATATGAGGACAAAATCTGAGTTTATATTTGTCTTTCTCTTTGTGCATTTCTAAAAGGTGTTCCTTGGGTTCCTGCTCATGCTCATCCTGTTACTGATCTTGATTCTCTGACTTCTAATCTGCTTTCTCCTCTCCCAGCCACATACTGTGATTAACTTAATTCACTTAAACAGCACTTCTAATTTAAAGCAACGTCTGTCAGATCTGCAGTATGCCCTTCCTGAGAAAGCTGGAAACTTCTTTTGGTTCTGAGTATCTGAAACAGAGTTCTTTCATATGTGTGTGTTTGTGTGTATGTGTGTGAAAGAGTTTGCAATTTTTTTCTTTATTTTCTTCATGTGTTTGTTTTAGTCTGTTCAATGTATTTTTGTCAGCCATCCCAAATCCTTTTGGAAATGAGATGGGGTATAATTTAAAAGGTCATCTTTAAAAAACTGGAATATACTAAATAATGGATGTTTAAATAAATACTAAATAAATAGTATTTATTTATACTAAATAAAATAATAGATGAATGAATGGATTTTTAAAATTTTTATTTTCTAAGTATTATATGGGTTTAAATCATTTTTAGTCTTTAAAGATTTAAATGATATTTCATATACTCATTTTTGATATCTAAAAGCAGAGGCATATGAGTTCAAGTAAAAAAAATTTTTGTTGAATCTAATCAGATGGCAGAATATTTTATTTAAACTTTGATATATCAAGGCTTTTTTTATTTTTAAATTTCAATTTTAGGGATATTCTAAACCATTGTGAAATGCATAATTAACCCAATTCAGCTTAAGCTGTGACTATATGAAATATAGTTTCAGGTCTCATGTTGAATTTAATCTGATTTACTTGGCCCCCTTCCACTGGCTGGCTTATGTTTCTTTTTCTATAATGATCTGTTTCCTGGTGCATTTAATTTTACCTGTGGTCTCAAAGAGGAGATTTTTTTAAAAAAGGAGTTTTAAGAGAGCAGCTGAAATGGAATAACGGAATATTATCTTTTGTTGACTGTCCACTCCCCCAAGGCCAAAAAGGCTTGTTGATTAAGCAAAACTGAGTTTATTGCATACTACAGTAAGGAGATCACACCAGGATGGTCTCTTAGTGGACTTTACAATGGAGAGGTCATGGGCAGATAGTGTAGAATATCAGGTGTGACCCTGAGAGATTTAAGGTAGGTCTGTCAGTGCAGTGATATGGTTGAAATGGGGTAAAATTTGTGATATAATAGTTAGAATTAATAGGAACATTGAGGCAAGAATCTTAACCAAGTCTTAAAAGTATACAACTGTTTTGAGTTATTTGCCCCATTGAAGGAATATTGTGAAAAAGAAACAGTTTGAATAGTCTGTTGTTGAGATAACCGGACTTTTGGGAGGCTTTTGAGCTGAACAGTGGAAGTTATTTACTGATTTACAGTTTTATCTTTGTGGGCAGTAATTTCTTGGCACAAATGATAAAGTCATGTGGATGTAGGCGGCCTTGGTTCTTAGTATTCTAGTTAATCTATATGAACGCAGTGATTCACTTCTAAGAGAACTAGAAAAAAAGAGCGTACTTTGTGGAATAAATGGTGGAAATTTGGGGTATTGTAGTGTTTTTACCTAAGTAGATTGAAATATATTTTGTTATTTGGGACTTAGGATTTAAAAGGGAAGAAAAACAAGGTGAATTTTCTTGTTTTGTTCCCTAATTTAGAAATGATGCGATGTGTTTGTCTTGATGTCCTTAGTATTATTTATGTATAGTTAGTTTAATTCCATCGATAAAATGAATTATTTTTAGTCTGAAATCAGGCTGTGTAGATTTGTATTCTGGCTCTGCTACTTACTAGCTATGGGAATACTAGATAAATTACTTAACCTCTTTGTACCTTGTTTTTTCATCTATAAAATGGGAATAATAGTATCCCCTCTTCACAAGGTAGTGGTAAGGTTTAAGTGCACTTAATGTAATGGTTACATGACTAAATGATTAAGTGATTAAATATAGAGATTAAAGTCCTAAACAGTGCCCAGAACTTAAAGTGCTATATGTGTTAGGCATTATTACTATTATGATTACTACTATATTCCTACTACCACTACGACTGTCATTATCTTTTACTTTTTAAGTAAAGGTGAATGACGCCTTAGAGACAAATCAGTAGTTTAAAATACTAACAAAATCCAACATCTGTCATCCACAGAAAGATAATCCCTTTATTGTTTCAGGAACAAAATACTTTATTTTTTTAAAGGCTAAACTTAAGCCTGTGAAGTAGGATTAATGCTTCCATCTAGTTGTTTTGGCAGCTATCAGCAATTACCTATTCTGATTGTCCATTACTGTTGGCATTGGGCAGGAGATATTAACCAAATATGGGAGAGCTGCTTTTGCACTAGTAATGGTCAAGACATTAGGCTTTTTGATATATTAGAACCCTGAAGTTTTGTTGGAAATTTCCCTTTCTTTTAACAGATTACTGCATTAAACAATTCGCTGCATTTTTCATAACATTGTCCTCTCTGATTGTATGTTCCTCCTCAGTAAAATAAGTCAGGATAATTTAGAATAGAATAGATATTATTCTGTGAAACTCTGTAGAAAATTCTTATGAAAGTAAATTATGTTGTGTAGCTCACTGTTGTGTTTTGGCTCTAAAAACTAACTTACTACCTAACAGGAGCCCCCCTGAATTTTGGCTGATTGAATTTGTTTAAGTTCCCAGCTTTTTGTGTGTTGGATTTCCTTCAAGTAATTCAGCATCTGGAATACTATGGAAGAGGCATGACAGTTTTTGTTACAGAGAGATTGGATTTACATATGACTTCACTTATATGTGGAATCTAAAAAATGAACAACAAATGAACAAACAAAGCAGATACAGACTCACGGATTGCAAGAATAAGCCGGTGGTTGCCAGAGGGGCAGGGCTTTGGGAAGGCAGACAAAATAGGTGAAGGGGATTAAAAGGTACAAATTTATGAAATAAATAGGTCAGGAACGTGTAATGCACACATAGAAGAGTCAGTAACATTGTAACAGCTTTGTGTGGTGACTGACGTTAACTCCTCTTACTGTGGTGATCATTTCGGAGTGCGGAATCAGTGTACACCTGAAACTAATTTAGTATTATATGTTAATTATAAATAAAAGGATTGGATATAGCATTGTTAATCTCAGTTTCAATAAAAATTCTTGGAGTGGACCCAGCTTTGCTAAGAGTTAGAGTTTTAAACTCTAAAACTCACAGTTTTAGAGTTTTGTGATTGTTTTATCCTATCTGAAGGAATAAACAGTCGAAGGGAATGTACAATAGGTGCATTGAACTATATTGTACATATAAAACTCGGACTTTGTATGGAGCTTCGCATGTATTTTTGAAGCACAAAATTATAGGTATTGAAAATATCTAATGAATTTGTAAGTTATGAGGACTTTGATTGAAGTCACCAATGTATTCACTTATAAGGAATATCAAGAGTTTTGTTAGTTCCTACTAAAGAATCCCAGTCTTTAGGAAGGATTGCTTTTAATGGTCCTAACAAAGTAGTTGTGCATTAGGCTACTGAAAACCTTTTAGAAATAGTGCAATTTGCCTGCTAATATGTTCCAACGTCTAGTACCCTTTAGAGGGAAATGAGAGCCCCTAGGATTGTCAGTTGTAATGTCTTGACTGAGGGCAGAGTAGAAGAAAGTCTCCTCAAATCTTATTAATGAGACTGTTAGAAAGAAGTATAGAACAACAATAGTTTTTTATTATCAATACTAATTGTAGTTCATGTTTATGGGGTGATAAGTACTTTACACTAATTATTTAATTCTTAAAGCTGTGAGGCTAGGTGTTATTTGAAATGCATGCCACAGAGGAAGAAACCTAGGCAGTGAGATGTTAAGTGACTTGCCCAAAGCCCCACAGCTCTTAGGTGGTAGGGTTGGGATTTGAACCAAATTTGTCTTCATTTTACTACATTATACTATCCTGCATCTACATGGGTTATCACTTAGACCCTATAAATCCCCATCATCAATTTTGATTATTAACCCCATTTTACCGATGTGGAATCTAAGAGTTAGAAGGGGTAGGTTATAACTTGAAATCCATGGGATCGTAAAGAGTCGGACATGGCTGAGTGACTTTCACACACACAGAGTTGTCTTACAAGTTGTATTAATTTCTGATAGAGCAAAGACAATCAGTTATTCATATATATATATATATCCCCTCTCTCTTATATTTCCTTCCCATTTAGGTCACCACAGAACACTGAATAGAGTTCTCGTGTTATATAGCGGGTTTTCATTAGTTGTCTGTTTTATGCATGGTGTATATATGTCAAACCCAATCTCCCAGTTAATCTCACCACCCCACCCCCGACCCTTGGTATACATATGTTTATTCTCTATATCTGTGTCTCTATTTATGCTTTGTAACTAAGTTCATCTGTATCATTTTTCTAGATTCCACATATAGGTGATATTATATGATGCTTGTTTTTCTCTTTCTGACTTCGGTCTGTATGACAGTCCCTAGGTCCATCCATGTCTCTGCAGATGGCACAATTGTGTTTCCTTTTATGGCTGAGTAATATTCTATTGCCTCTATGTAAGGCTGGATACTGTAAAACTCTTAGAGGAAAACATGGAAAACATTCTTTGACATAAATTGCAGCAAGATCTTTTTTGACCCACCTCCTAGAGTAGTGAAAATAAAAACAAAAATAAACAAATAGGACCTAATTAAATGTAAAAGCTTTGGGACAGCAAAGGAAACCATAAATAAGACTAAAAGACAGCCCTCAGAATGGGAGGAGATATTTGCAAATGAAGCAACTGACAAGGGATTAATCTCCAAAATACTCAAGCAGCTC